CCTCAGCCAGTCAGCCCCTTGGTGCCTCGCCGCCGACCGGATCCCCTCCAGCAGTCGCTCCACGTCGTCCATCGGCCCTGCAGGGAGACAAAAGAAGAGAAAACCCTACCAAGCCAAATCTGTGCCCACAGGAGCGAACACAAACTTAACCAGGTAGGAAATTAGAATGACTTACCTAAAATGGCTTCCCATTTAAATAACCAAACCTACTTACCCATAACTCCACTCCCTTGCTTACTTCCTCCTAAGCCCGCCTCCTAACCCCTGTCAAGGCCTTTTTTCGCTTAGCTGCGCCTGGCTACATGGGGCTACAAGACTTGCTATCATTCTATCAATGTACATATAACATAATGAGCCATTTTTAAAATAATTTATTTAAAGTTTTTATTATGCAAATTTTACATAGTTCAGAGTTATGTTCATAAATCATACTTAGACCTGTCTTATAAGGTTCACAATTCAAATTACAGTTAGAATAGTGAATTCATAGCGACAAAATCAACGAGGCGTCGGGCCGGGGCCCCCGCTCCTCCGCGCAGTTAAAGGACCACTCTAGGCACCCAGACCACTTCAGCTTAATGAAGTGGTCTGGGTGCCAGGTCCAGCTAGGGTTAACCCATTTTTTCATAAACATAGCAGTTTCAGAGAAACTGCTATGTTTATGAATGGGTTAAGCCTTCCCCTATTTCCTCTAGTGGCTGTCTCATTGACAGCCACTAGAGGCGCTTGCGTGCTTCTCACTGTGATTTTCGCAGTGAGAGCACGCCAGCGTCCATAGGAAAGCATTATGAATGCTTTCCTATGTGACCGGCTGAATGCGCGCGCAGCTCTTGCCGCGCGTGCGCATTCAGCCGACAGGGAGGAGAAGTGGAGGATCGGAGGAGGAGAGCTCTCCGCCCAGCGCTGGAAAAAGGTACGTTTAACCCCTTTTCCCCTTTCCAGAGCCCGGCGGGAGGGGGACCCTGAGGGTGGTTAATGGTTTAATGTGATAATGTGACAATGTCAAAAAGTGTCATCAATAACAGTACATTTCAGCTTGTGACACGGTAGACAATAAGGTACGAACCGCACTACACAATGTATTCTTATACTCGATTGTGCCATGTATGTACTATGCTATACAGCTATTCCCACCAGAATGTATTGCAACGACACGCCAAAAATAAAAGAATAAAAAAAAAAAAAGAATAGTGAATTCATACATTTCTAGCAATTAATCCCTACTTCATTATCTCGTTTTGTGTGGTCTGTATTTCTTTCATATATCTGTGAACTTGTTTTCCTTTATTTTAATAAAATATAAATTAAAAAAGGGTAGGTAAGGGTATAGAGAATAATCGGAAACCTGCAATTTAATTTCATTCTAATAATCTTGTACTATGAATACATTTTAAATTCTGAATTCTGGCTGCAATTACTTATTGTCTTAAAATTATATATAGAGTTCTATAGCATCCAATGTATTTTATTTTACCTAGATAAGTTTCCATGTAGGAGTATTAGTTTTCCAGTCCTTTACAGTTTATCCTATATTCCTCTTGTTCCGTAGTTAAGAGGTACATAATTTACCACATGAGTCTTTTACATCTGCTCACAAGTTTCCTTCTCCCCCCCCATGTCTCCTTAATCATTTCTCCTTCCTCAGTCTCCTTTATCACTCCCTTCTCCCAGTCCCCTACGTGTCTTTTTCCTCCACAGACTGTTTACCACATTTCCCTCCCCATTTCTCTTTACTACTTCCTCAGTTTCTAATGACCACCTCTCCCTTCCCAATTTTCTTTACCACATCTCCCCCTGTCGTCTCTAATAATAACCACTTCTTTCTCCAAAATCCTTCTTACTGTCACAAAATGTTCTAACGGGGCTGCCATCAGCACACCTGGGGCCCCTTTACAAATCTAGGGGAGAGGCTGTACTTGTAAGGTGCCAGTACTGTCTGCAATATGGTCCAGTCCCGAATAGGACCGCATCGCTTTACAAGGCTCTTGAGGGCCCCAGAGCACAGCCGGGCCCCTTAGAAGTGTAAGGGTAGAAGCCCTCTGATGGTGGCCTTGCCTTCTGAAGCCTATCTTGTTCTGCATTAAGACTGTGCGGAACTCTAGCACTATGGCTTATGGACGCTGTAATTTTATGTCCTTTTACGATGCTCTGCATCCTCGTCTCTATAACCACGGAGGCCACAATGAGCCATTTCTCTGACTCCATACTCCACGTTCTGTGGTCCCAGGATTAGCACTAACCCATGATAGGTAGTTTCTGCCTACAGATACCCTGCTCTTAATATCCCTCAGTGCCCTTTCCGTGTTTTACGTCTCTATTCCTTCTGATTGACTTTTGGCACTTTGACCTGGTTTGTTCTGATTTCTGTACTTCCTGACCTTGGCTTGTTTCTCCGGATCTCTTGACCTCATCTTATTTCTGGTTACTCGTTTCCTATTGCAGACCATTCACCTTTATTGGCAACACTTTAAACCAAGCCACCTCTAAGGACTGGTATTACTCTCTGACCTGGGTGACCTGGGCGTTCGTGTTGGGCTATATCTCTTTCTGATATTTACATCCCTCACTGTTGATTGTTGCAGGTTTTGTATATATACGATGCTGGTTACAGTTCTGTTTAATATGCCACCACTAATTGCTCTGCCCCAGAGGGAAAAAAGAATCAAGACGTACTTATTTGTTCTGCAAACATTACATAGAAAAGTAAAGTTGTCACAGCCAGAGGGAAGAAAGGATTGAGAAAACACCCCGAGTTAGCTTTTTGTTAATGCATTTGTAAAATATCTGTTAAGCCTGTTTATATTTGTGGATGATAACCACCTTAAACCTGCACTGATCCCTTTTGAGGTTTTTTTTCATAAAGATAGAATCTAAATGAAAAATTCATAAGGGTTGTGTTGGCCCATCACAAACAAAACACATCGTAAAACAAAATAGAGAATTATTTGCCTTCTGGATAATTCTAGATTATAGATGAAACAGCTGATAATATAAATAATATTGTTTAATTATCTTAATGTATTATATGCTTTTTCCATCACATTGTGCATTTGGAAGACCATCCAACGGCCCACACTTTATACTCTCTCGCATGTGAGTTCACCAATGATGTGTCTCAGAGTGAATACATTTCTGAAATGGGTCATATTCTCAGGATGAGAACTTTATAGGAAGAGTCTAAAAATTGGATTTGGAAGGATAGGTACTTCAGATCATCTCAGAACAATGGTTAAACTTTCAGTCTTTTTAAAAACTGAAAGATTCTCAATGTGTTAAGTATCGAATTGGGCAGATATTATAGAAAAAGATAACAAAGACTCTAAGCTAATTTGGAAGGTACTGAATATTGCTTAGTGCATTCATTTTCAGCAAGCACAGTCTTTTTTTTTTTTTTTTGTTAATCAAGTTTTATTGAGTATCAGTGAAAACAGTACTGTTGGGCACGCAGGCCCGCAATAATAGGGTTTGAGTACAGTGTAAAGATCGTAGAAATTCCTGCAGGTATAGCATTCAATAAGGAAAACAGTGTTCAATAACAGTTTATGGGTACAACTTGTCACTTATAACCATTCGTAAATTTCAGGTGCGTTTTCGTTCTCTGGATGGAGTGGCGGTGTTACGGCACGTGAGAGTTGTGTGATGGCAGTGCCTTGTTGTCTAAGGCTAGGATTGTGTGAACAGTGTGTTGTATGTGGTGTTTACAGGTTAGTGTACCCACCTATGGGGGGGTCTGTTATTTTCTTGTTTACTGTATAAACGCATCCGGGTGCGTGATGTCACAGTAGTATCCAGTGGAAGAGAGTTACACATGAAAGTGATGTGTGTATGTAGTACAAAGCACCAAAGTATGGGGATGACATGTCTTGGTTTCGTGGGCTCGTTATGGAACCTGGGTGTATGATCACATCGTATGAATAGTATACATCCCTGTAAAGACCGTAAGCAGGAATAATTAGTTACTTTGTCGGGGTCAGGTTGCGGTCAGTGTTATGTGTCAGTAGGGACCGTGGTCTTCAGGAGAAGGGCGGTGATGTCACGCCCTGTTAGATGTCCGTATGTAGCCCATCCAGGCTTTCTACGGTGAAGTCCTCATGGGAAACTCTAAATGCATGGTTCCCCCAAATTTGCTTTTCTACAGATTTACAGAAGCGTCTGCCGTCTTTGATGAGTGTGAGAGGATGTCATGATGTGTTGTGTCGCGGCTCGGCCCCAGGGGTCAGAGCTTGCATGCTAATGGTGCGTAGGCCTGGTTCGGGTCCTGGAGTCAAGGGCAAAGAGAGCATAGTGTGGGCCAGAGCAGGCCCGAGCGAGCCCTGTTATATTGGGGGTCATGTTCCTTGTTTTTTGTGACTGTGTAGCGTCTGCCTCCATCCCTGAGGTCACCTGGTTGTAGCGTCCTTAAGTCGGAGAGGGTCAGCTTGTTTTGGGGACAGTGGTTGAGCTCCCCTTGTGTAGTGTTGTATCTGCCTGCCGTCTCTAAGTATCTAGGGATGTGGTTCCCTTCCTGATCAGGGTTATGTGAATGGTGTGGGAGCGTGATGATTGTGCCCGTCAGTGCCTTAGAGGGGTCCGGAATCCCAGTGTGTAGTATGGTTATATCGCAGGGGCCACACCGCCCCCCCAGACGCCCAGACCCCGAACCGACACCCCTCCCATTATCCCGCGCGGAAGGCAAACCACGGCGCCCACATATCAGTGTACTTCGTCATCCTATCCATCAGTCCTGCCTGGACCGCCTCAGCCGCCCTGATATCTTCTACTTTGTGTATCCATTCCTCCCGGGTGGGTACATCTGTCTTCTTCCAATACAACGGTATGAGCGATTTGGCTGCATTCAACAGATGTCGCATAATAGATTTTTTGTAGGCTGGCAGTGGTTGCGAGGAGATATGTAGTAAGGCTAGTTCGACCGACCACTCAACGTCATTGCCGAGGATCAGTCGGACGTCAGATTCGATCTGGTCCCAATATGGGGTGATGAGTCTGCATTCCCACCAGATGTGTAAAAGCGTGCCCCTATCATCCATGCATCTCCAACAGGTTGGTGGGGTAGTGGGGAAAATTCTATGAAGTAGTACCGGGGTCCTATACCACATAGAGAGCAGTTTATAGTTCACCTCCTGGTAGTGTGAACTAGAGGAGCTTTTGTGCTGCCATATCAAGGCTTTGTCCCATTGCGTTGGTGAGAATGTTTTGGTCATTGCCTCCTCCCAGCGTCGCTGAAACATATTATTCTCCGAGGTGGAATCAGTCAGCAGGTATTGGTATAGGTTCGAGATAGCCTTTCCAAGTGGTCTGCCATGAGTACAGAGGTCCTCGAACCATGTGAGATCTCTCTGTAACCTCTCCTTGTGGGGGAGCGAGTCGTGGAAGTGTTTTAGTTGCATATAGCGAAGAACCGTCATCGGGGACCACGGTCGATCTCCTAGTAACGTGTCCAGGGTGTCTAGGGTCCCATCCCGAGTGACCTTGTGAATCGGGATGTATTCCGCATCCCCTAGGAATGACCAGGCTTCCGCCGGCAGGCCGCCCCCTATATCGGGGTTGTGTGTTATCGGTAGTAGGGGGCAGGGGGTCGGGGATATCCGCGGCTCCTCCCTGAGAGTCTCTCATGTGAGTAGGGTCTGCGATACCGGATCCTCGCTGTGCCCTCTACCACTCTGTAACGAGAATATACCCCTACACGCAGGATCCAGCTAAACAGAGGCAAATACAGAGGAGAGATACGTCTACCGGACCTTAGAATGGCTGGACTTGACGTATATGAGAGGAGACAGAGCCAGGAACAAACCGAGGTCAAGGGCACAGAGAGACAGCGTAAACTAGGACAAGCCGGGGTCTGGTACACGGAAAACAGCAAGCCGGCAAACAGTACAGATAAGGATAAAGCGAAAACGAAGTCAGAATACGAAGCCAAAGTCAATACGAGAAAACACAACTGAACACCACAAGCGCTAAAGGGAACTGAAACAGAAACCACGATAGGGCAACGAGCTAAGGGAAAAAGGTAAGTTTAAATAGCTTTTAAACGAAAGTGATTGGCTCCTGTCACTTCCACACCCCCCAAAAGGTAATGGGAGCCTTTTGGCAATTAGGCTCCCACTGTCTCTTTAAGAGCGCGCCCGAGACTCGCGGCGCGCTCTTAGTTTCAGGCGGGACACGTGACCGCTTCACGCGGTCACTGCCCGCCTTCCATCCAAAGCAGTCGGATGAGCCGCGCGCGGCTCGTGCAGCCGCAGGACCGCGCGCGGCTTGAAGAGAGGACCGCGACCGGCCCCCGGTTAAGGTAAGTAACGCTACAGTACCCCCCCCTGAGGACACGCCCCCCGGGCGGGTAGGACCAGGCCTGGCAGGAAAACGAGAATGGAAAGAGCGCACAAGACGGGGAGCATGGACAGCATCAGCCGAAATCCAACTGTGCTCCTCAGGCCCATAACCCTTCCAATGTACCAAGTACTGAAGTCGACCCCTAAGGAAACGAGAGTCAAGAACAGCAGACACTTCAAACTCCTCATGACCCTCCACCGAGATAGGAGGGGGAGGAGGAGTATGCCGGGTATAGCGGTTGCGTACGAAAGGTTTCAACAATGAGGTGTGAAAAACATTAGGAATACGTAGATTCTTAGGCAGGCCTAAGGCATAAGAAACAGGATTAACCTTATGTATAATACGATAAGGTCCAATGAAGCGGGGAGCCAATTTCATAGAAGGCACCCGGAGACGAATATTCCGCGTGGAAAGCAAAACCCTGTCCCCCACAACATAGGACGGAGCTGCTCTGCGATGCTTGTCAGCCTGAGCCTTCTGGCGAGTAGCAGAGTCCACCAAAGAACGCTGAACCTGCTCCCAAGTATTACGCAAACCAGCCAAATGCTCATCCAGAACTGGCATGCCCTGTGAGAGAATGCAGCCGGAAGAACAACGGGATGCTGGCCATAGACAACGTAAAAAGGGGTCTTGCCGGAAGAATCATGAGTGGCGTTATTCCGAGCAAATTCAGCCCAAGGAAGCAGGTCAGACCAATTGTCCTGATGGTGAGACACAAAACAACGGAGGTATTGCTCCAGAGACTGGTTGGCACGTTCAGCAGCCCCATTAGACTGGGGATGATAAGCGGAAGAAAATGAGAGAGAAATACCCATTTCTGAACAAAAGGCCCTCCAGAACCTGGAAATAAATTGGCTACCCCTATCGGATACAATAGATACGGGAATCCCATGTAATCGAAATACTTCTCTAGCGAAGATATGAGCCAGTTCCTTGGATGTGGGCAACTTGTGAAGAGACACGAAGTGAGCCATTTTGGAGAACCGATCCACTATCATCAGGATTACTGTGTTACCATTTGAAGGGGGTAATTCAACAATAAAATCCATGGACAGGTTAGACCAAGGTCTCTCGGGAACGGGTAACGGATGCAACAGCCCACAAGGAACTCTACGGGAGGATTTCATACAGGCACAAGTAGTACAAGCACTTATATAGTCAGTGACATCCTTTCGTAAGGAATCCCACCAAAAATACCGAGAAACAGCTGACACCGTTTTGGAAATACCAGGATGTCCAGCAGTCTTAGTATCATGATATAATGACATAATATCCCGTCTCTCAGGAACATCAACGAACAGTTTATCATTAGGCCTCTCGCTAGGTGCCATGCTTTGTTTCGCTTGTATGGCCTGCAAGAGGGACGAGGAAATAGACAAAATAGTAGTAGCTATTATCCTGTCTGGGGGAATGACAGGAGTAACATCAATCTCCTGTTTGTCAGTAGTTTCGAACTGTCTGGACAGAGCGTCTGCTTTAGTGTTGCGATCACCTGGCCTATAGGTGATAATAAAATTGAAACGGGACAAAAATAGTGACCACCTAGCCTGCCTGGAAGACAATCTTTTGGCTTCGCTAAGGTAGGATAGGTTCTTGTGATCCGTAAAAATGAGGATAGGATCCTTAGTTCCTTCTAACAAATGTCTCCACTCTTTAAGTGCTAAAATAATAGCAAGGAGTTCGCGATTACCCACATCATAATTTTTCTCTGCTTTGGACATTTGTTTAGAAAAGAAGCCGCATGGATGCAATGGCTTTTCAGGCGACTCTCTTTGGGATAAGACAGCACCTACCCCAATATCCGAAGCATCAACTTCAAGAATATAGGGCAGTGAGGGGACAGGATGCTGTAAAATAGGTGCAGAGGCGAACGTAGTTTTAAGAAATTCAAAAGCCTGAAGTGCCTCGGTAGACCAAACACGAGTATTGCCATCCTTTTTAGTCATACGGGTAATAGGTGCTACAATGGACGAGAAACCTTTGATAAAACGTCTATAATAATTGGAGAACCCAAGAAAACGCTGAATAGCTTTCAGACCTTGCGGTAGAGGCCATTCTATTACAGCAGCAAGCTTCTGGGGATCCATACGAAAACCTTTAGCGGAAATCAAATACCCCAAGAACTGGACTTCGGTTTGGTCAAACAGACATTTTTCTAGCTTGCAATAAAGACCATTAGCAAGAAGGGTCTTCAAAACTGTCGTAACATGTCTGTGATGAGTGTGTATATCTGTAGAATATATTAAAATGTCGTCCAAGTATACGATAACAAATGTGTGAATAAAATCTCTTAAGACATCATTAATAAATTCTTGGAATACTGCTGGGGCATTGCAAAGCCCAAATGGCATAACAGTATATTCGTAATGACCGGATCTAGTGTTGAATGCAGTCTTCCATTCGTGATTTTCCTTTATACGTATCAAATTGTATGCACTCCTAAGGTCTAATTTAGTGAACACAGTGGCATGTTTCAGCCTGTCAAATAATTCTGTAATTAAAGGTATAGGGTATGCATTTTTGATAGTGATTTTGTTTAGACCTCTATAATCTATACACGGTCTTAAATCACCTTCTTTCTTCGATACAAAGAAGAACCCTGCTCCAGCTGGAGAAGAGGATCTCCTAATAAACCCCTTTTCTAGTGATTCCTTAATATACTCCTCCATGACACGGTTTTCTTGAACCGATAAGGGGTACACCCTGCCCTTTGGAGGTATAGTGCCAGGCAACAAGTCAATAGCGCAATCATAGGGTCTGTGAGGCGGTAATTTCTCAGCCTCCCTTTTATCGAAAACAGTCTTTAGAGATAAATACTGAGGGGGTATAACCGTAGACAAAGGAGGACTGGTAGGTACCTCAATAGAATTCAAAGGTGTGACTTCAAACGTACAAGACTCGTGGCAGGCCTCACTCCATGATTTTATTTGCCCTGTCTCCCAGTCAAAAATGGGATTGTGAGCACGTAAC